TGTTAATAGTATTAAAATAAATATTAATTTTTATATTTTTAATATAAATTAATTATAAAAAAACATATTTATTGTTCAATTTTCTTGTTCAGTTTTAGCAAGGGTAGACAAACCCTTCTTTTCTCATTTTGCTATGTAGACGACATGGTGAGGCCGGCACGGAGGGAAGAACATGGGAATCAAAAAGCCACCAGTTCAACGGAGTGCGCCTAAGCGATCATAACTGCGGTCTGGTGTGCAAGAATGAAGGTTTCTCTGACGGCTGCTGCCGAGGGTTCCGCCAGCGTTGCTTTGGACCAGGATCTGTTAATTTTAATTCTATATATCTATAATTAACGTCAAAAAACAATGCACCCAACCATTTACATCTAAATGTACTCTTAAAATACCGTATCTAATAAAGTGATGTTTCTTTCAAAGATTTATCTAATCTATATTTTAAAGATGCAAGTTAAGAAAGTTTTAAATATATATTTTTTATATATTAATTTATAACAAAATAAAAAAAATTAGTATTAATTTTAATATCTATGACACATGAATAATTTTCATTAGATAATTAATAAAATGAATATTAACTTTTAGTTTTATTATGTGTGCTAATAATAAAAAAAAATACAATAAATGAACACAAGATAAAAAAAAACCCTTCTTTTAATTAGTATTCTTGGTTCTTGCTTTTTTTTTCTTAGATGTTAACTGTTAATCGCTTTTCATGAATTTTCTACTTTGGTCTCCGTCGTCCCTGTATTTGATCAAATTGAAGAGGCTATGGCTATGGATGTATGGTGTACAAAAGCTTACTTAAAATATCACCTAACTATTATATAAAATTAAAATAAAAAAAAACTATTAATATGGCTATTAAAAATAAACAATAATACTATAACTACAATATTAATCTTGTAAATTATGATATATCATTACATAAGTAAATAGTCGTCATTAAATAAGATTACATGGGTGTCTTGGGATAAGGTCTGTTGTAGTAAAGGAGAGGGAGGCTTAGGGGTAAAAAATTTGAGATGGTTTAATATGACCTTGCTTGGCAAGTGGTGGGCAAGATTGATAAGGGGAAAGGGTTTGTGGTCTTGGGTATTAAAAGAAAAATATGGTGCTGATGAGGGGAATTGATTATCATGGATGAGGGAGGGCCGGGGTTTAGGTTCCTTTTGGTGTAATACTGTTTGTAAACTAAATGCAAGTTTAGATAGGAAGGATGGGTGGTTGGATTCAAATTTCAAATTGAACTTGGGTGAAGGGAAGAGTGTTAGGTTCTGGAAAGATGTATGGGTGGGTGGGGGGCTAATGTTTTTCCTAGACTACTTTTGTTGGCTACAAATAAAAATTGCAACATTTATGATATAGGACACTAAATAGATAGATGTTGGGTTTGGAGTTTCCACTGGAGAGGATCACTTCGAGCTTGGGAAGAGGACAAATTGCAACAATTGGTTGAGTCTATAAAACACAAAAAGTGGGTGCAAGATGTCGAGGACACTAGGAGTTGGAGGCTAGAAGTTGGAGGAAAATATACTATAAGATCGGCCTATTAGCAGCTTGCAAAGAAAGATGAAAATAGGTTGTTGGAGTGCAGAAAGCTATGGGGTGCTTATGTTCCATCAAAAGCAAGTGCTTTTTCATGGCAACTACTTCTAGATAAAATTCCTACAAAGGTTAATTTGGCAATGCATGGGATTTTAGAAGTTAATCAAGGTATAAATTGTTCTTGGTGTGATTCATCTCCTAAACATATAGATCACTTTTTTTGTGTCTTGCAACATTTCTTCAAAATTATGGACAAGATGCCTCCATTGGTGGGGGTTACATTATGTTCTCGAGAGCACTTGCTTGGATGTTTTTCACCAGCACAGATGACATAAGAGCTCAAAAATTATGAAAAAGGGTTGTGGATCATGATATGGTTTGTCATAGTGTGGTCATTATGGTTGAGTAGAAATGAAACTATTTTTCAACACAAAGAGCTTAACGAGGATAAGTTGTTTGACCTAATACAAATCCGTTCATTTCACTGGCTAGAACTCTTTTGAATCTAGAAAACTTATCTTTCATAGAATGGATTTCTAATTCATTGACATGCCTAAATACTAGGAAATAGAGGCTAGATGGGGAGTTGGATTCCAAGTTTCTTGTTTTGGGTTGTGTGTTTTTTTTTTTTTTTTGTATATTGTCCCCATTATCTACCACTGATTTTATTGATTGATGTTTACGGGTTTGAGTACCTCTTGTATTCACATGATAAAATACTTTTGTTTTTCAAAAAAAAAAATAAATAAGTAAATCGTAACAATCATATGGTGAATCCTTAAATGACAAGAGTAATAATATAAAACACATTATAATTAAAAATTAGACATTATTACAGATGAATTCTTATATGAAAAGAGTCAATTATAATATAATAAGTCATGATTATAAACTTACAATTTCACTTAATATTGTAACTAAACTATACCATTTTCAAAAAATAAATGATACATTAAAGAAAAGGAAAATAATTTAAGAATAATTTTTTGTATTACTTTTTTATATAACTTTACGTATTATTTAAATAATTAATTTTTTAATTAATTTTTAAGATATATGCTATTAATTGCATTCACTTATTTAATGACATGTAAAAATTATTTGAAAAAATTCTACATATATCATCGTAAAAAAAAAAAAAAAAGAGTAGTTCTCGGCGGTTTCATGTTTAACTATAAAAATGGGTCAAAGAGGGCAACCTTAAAGTCCCAACTCCTAAGTCGAACCACGGATGATAGACATTTGATTGGGCCGAATGTATTTCCGATTCATCAGTGTAAAGACAAAGACTTGATTGGGCCTATATCTCACTCGCAGATTCAAGTGTAAAAGACAGACTTGGGTTGGGCCTTTATGTTACCTTCTTTCGTTTTCTGTTTTTTTTTTTTTTTTTTTTTTTTTTTGATATTTAGATAGGAATTCAAACTTAGGACTTTCCCAACATATTTTAAATAAAAAAAGAGTAATACCATTTTTTTTTTTATAAAGAAAACGCAGAATGATTATGGGCAAGAAATATAAATTTAGTTAACTGCAAGCACAGACATGGGTTTGTTTATTGTTACTTTTAAAATTGTTAAGAATATTAAAATTTTAGTTTTTTTTTTTT